CTAAGAATTCTTAATAACTCCTCTCACATGTATTACTCAATACCAATATAGGAAATGCTAATACTGTAAGAAATAATTTTTAAAAAGGGCTGATTCTTTCTGAGACCCATTTATGTTTCTATACAAATTGCTATTTATTGCCAGAAGCTGTTTAGCACTTGCTCCTTCTCTTAGACCTAGACTTTGACTTTCAGTTGCCTGGACCATCTTGCTTTTTAAATGTTCTCTGTTACTTTCCTTGCAACATGTCTACAACGGATCTTTATAGCTCGCCCTTCAAACCAAAATTTTTTCCACTTCTCCGTTTCTGTCAATTGCTCTCCCCCACCTGCCCCAACACCTTTAAAGAAAATTCCATCAAGTCATTCCATGTAGTTATTTCTTTGGTGCTTCCTCTCCATCACCCACTAAGGGGACCAAGACATCAGTGTCAGTTGATTTTTCATTCAAAATATCTCTCAGATTCAACAGTCCTTCAGCAACACCTGTTGTAATACATCATCACTATTGTACATACATCAATTCATCAGTAGCCACTTCCTGTCTCCTGTCTCGACATACATCAAGCCACCCTGTATACTGCAGATAAGTTAATTTTCCTATGCCATTACTTTTATTATGTCATTATGCCTGCTACTGCCTATTTATTAAGACCAAAGTCTTCCACCTCATAACAGAGGATTCAAACAGACCAGCTTTTTTTCACGTTTTCTCTGCTTAGATTTGCCCTTTTTAGCTGCTTCCCGCATTCATCTGAGTAACCTTTCATCCTTCAACAACCCACTTTAATGTCACTTATCTGTGAAGCCTTTTCTGAACTAATTAATCATTTCATCCTCTGTGTTTCATAACATCCATCATATTATTATACAGTTAGGTGTTTATCTGTCTTTCTCTTGTACTTTCTCTTCTACTTTTGAATTCTTTAAGGTTGGGGACTAGGTTTTTGCCAGCTATTTATTCCCAAATCATTATCTGGCCTTGAATAGGAAATTTAATACATATTTGTTAAATGAATGAATGAATAAAGTTATAGTGGCTTTCTCCTTTTCCACGTGAGATTCTCAACTCTGTGTCTTTACTCACTTTGTTTACTTTTCTGAAAAGCCTTTACATTATTCTTCAAAAATCTAAATGCAGTGTATTTTCAAAAACAGTTCAGTACAAAATGACACACATATTTAATATTATTGGAACTGTTTAAATGTAGGCACGTGTGCAACACCTCCAAGAGGTTTCTGAATTAGAGCGGTAGGATTTAGTGTTCCTGTTAACAATAAACTTCTTATGAACAGATTTTAAAGTTCCCCATTTTACCTTATTGTTCTGCATTTTGAAAGTGGTAGAATGGCCTATCATAGTGTCCTTAAACTACAGAATAGAATAAAAACTGCTGACTGTGCACCATAAATATAATATTCCCTGCACAGGCACGTGCACACACATGCAGCAGTTACTTCAAGGATCAAATCAAATTCTACTTCTCCCATTAAACTTTCCATAAATAATTCTGCTTGACCATATTTGGTCTCAAAATTCTTTAGCATTTCTAGTCTGGAAGAGAAGACTGGGTTGGGGGAAGGTGTGGCTCAGTGGTAGAGTGTGTGCTTAGCATGCACGAGGTCCTGGGTTCGATCCCAAGTACCACCATTAAAAATACATAAGTAAATAAATAAACCTAATACCACCCTCCAAAAAAAATAACAGTGTAAATTTTTTTTTTATGAGAGATAAGACTGTTAATTTTGTTCACTGCAGCTATTTTGTTTGATCTTTTATCTCACATGAGAGCCAGGGTTACTTTAGCTTTATTTTTAAGCTTTTTTAGCGTCAGGTCAACAATAGGCAATGAACCAATACTTAGTATTTTCTGTTGTTATTGGTGGTGGTGATGAGGAGGAGGAGGAGGTCCCCGGGCTGGGACTGATAAGTTAAGATCATTTATTTTATAGTGACACAGGTCTTTTATAAAAAATTACACCTTCTCTTTTGGAAACTCTTTGTAATTTTGTTAAATTGAGTTTGCCACTGGCTAGAATTTTTCTTTTTACCCCTCAATTTAGGGTAAGAATAAAGCTCACTCTTCTGAGCCTTGTGTCTTCTGCCAGTCTTTTCTTCCTTTCTTCCTTCCTTTTTCTTCCTTCCTTTTTCCTTTCCTTTTTCCTTTCTTTCTTTCTTCCTTCCTTTTTTCTTTCTTTTCTTTTCCTTTCCTTTCCTTCCTTCCTTCCTCCCTCCCTCCCTTCTTCCTTCCTCCCTCCCTCCC